ATTTATACCAGCTTAGCTAATCACTGGCACATGGAGATGAACAATTGTTGGAAGCAAACAATAGCTGAACTCTTCTGAACCTCAAAGGCTTGGATCAGATTTTGCACTAAAACTCAGCTACCTGATTGAAGATAACTCCTGAAAGCTCTCTATGTGTTTGCTTACATATGAACTAAGCTGAGCTTTATTTCCATCTCTGGTAATGCCTTTTTAGGTATGGAAAATGGCTTGATCATCATGTTCATTGTTTATTAATTTAATTAGATACAATACTAATAAGTAAATAAAAAATTATTAATAACTTGTTTTAATTGTTAATATAATTATCAGTGGGCAGGGAAGTCTGAAGCCACTTGTGATTCAGTGAGATATATGGCTGGTGTCTTCACATGGCGCCATAAGCAGGGCACCCTTTCAGGTCAGAAGCATTGCCTCTATGAAATACTTGCAGCAATGTGCTTGTAGGAAGGCTACATCCTGTTGTTAATGGAATTAATATATAAATAATGCAAGAGACACAATCAAAGTATGGACTATAGGTGAGTGCTTTCTAAAGGCTGCATTAATGGGTTTCCCTGAATACAGCACAAAGTACATCACTCTAGGCTGTAATAGGAAGCCATATTGACATATACCATACTTTGGACTGCATTATTCTTGACGGCGTCCTGGCAACCCAGGCTATTCAATTAGCCAGCACCCAAACAGTGCCTGATCTAGAAAGGTGCGTGGCTATTCCAGATACATACAGATTCTAGATGATTCTTGGCAAGTAGGACTACAGAGGCTGGTCTGAGGAGTGACAGGAAGATGATCAAGTCTGGTAAAAAGTGTTCAGGCAGGACAACGTGCTCCAGCAATCTGGTCTCATTCACAATACACCCCATTGAATGTAGTTAACAGATGTTAAAGACAAGTTTCATATTTATTCTCATTTAAATGTTTGTAGGATTCAATATAAAAGCATTAATCTGAACTGCAAAACTAGAAGAGAAAGAAAAATACTTGTGTGTGTGTGGGGGGGGGCATCAGCTGTGCACTCCGAGTTGCGGCTTGCTTTTCATCCCATTCCCCAGATTGTCAGGGAGCAAGGGGAAAGTACTTGCAATCCATGCATGCCTCTTACACCTGGCTGGTGAGCTCTCTTCACTAATGAGGGAAGAACTCTAAACATTCGGGTAATCAACCAAAAGTGTACCTCAGCAACCTGTCTGAATCCCTGCAATCTGCAACATTGGAGCAGGAATCCCAAAAAAACAGACTCTCTCAGATTTCCAGTCCTTCACTTTAACTATTAAAGCCTTTCCCATGGGATTTGAGCACTTCTGGTTCCAGTCCTGTCTAGAATCGAGAAATGAGAAAAAGGAAAAAGAATTGTGAAAAATGTGGGCGGTTAAAACAATTTCTTTGAATTCTAAAAATTGTTTCACTCGTTCCTAGGTAATAACTTGGAGCATTTCATATTTTATATGAAATGAGTGATTTTTATGAATTTGACCCAACTAGCACTCTCTAGCCTCAGACCCTGCTGCTTGCAGTTATAAACGTGTGTATTTTATTTATGTGATTTATTCTTCTAGACGGTGTTAACATTTCACAACAATGATTTAACTTGATACAAGAATCCCCCCCAAAAAGATGTATTGAAATGCAGGCAAGTTCTCAAGGAGCCATGGACATTAGGGCAAAGTGACTGCCATCTTCTGCTCCCAGTACAAAACACTGCTGAGCCTGGCTTTCTCTTCTAGCATACGCAGAGTTGAGAGTAAGGCAGTGTGCCTCAGCCTACGTCTACACTGCAGGCTTTTGCTGGCAGAGAATATGCTAATGAAGTGCTCATTAGCATATGTTGCACTTCCATTTGCATATCTCTGCTAATGCTTTTTTGGCAAGAGGTTTTTGCACAAAAAGAAGCAGTGTAAATGGGTCCGTTTTGCGCAAAAAAACCCCTTTTGTGCAAGATCCTGTATACTTCCCACATACTCTCTGCCGGAAAAAGCCTACAATGTAGACATAGCCTCAGTGTGCTGCTCTGGTAATAGCTGTCTGGGGTGCTTCACTGCAGGTGCAGGCATGTGGTGAAGCTTACGGTGCACTCTCCCTGCCAGGCACCCACCAGCATCCCCAGGGCTCCTGCTGCAACCTGGTGCTGGTGGCCTCATACCCCATGAGCAAGCCAGCCCCCTGATGCGGCAGGAAGGTGTGAAAGGGACCAGCTGAGAGAGCACTGTAGGAGAGGTGTGCGCACTCCCCGCTGGTCTCTTGGTGGGGCGTTGGCATCTGTCCCTGCTGCCCCTCTCTAGTTGGATGCTGGGCAGCACACTTACAATACCTGGCATGCACTGCTGCCAGCAGCCCCTGGGAAGAAGCCAGGGAAAGGCAGTGGCAGGCTAAATTTTCTCACGTGCCCCTGCCACCTGTTTGCCTGCAGCAGTGCCCCCTCACAGGTGGCCCACGGCTCCCCTTGGCACTGGCAGTGAACAGGAGCAGCGGGGCAGGGACTCCACCAGCCAGGTAAGGCAACCCAGCTCGACTGGGACTGCTCCAGGCCTGAGCCGTTCCCCCCACCAGCTCCCTACGCTGATTCCTGCACTTCCCCCTACATCCAACCCATTGCCCTGACTCCTTCACCCCCCAACCCCCTGCCCTGACTCTTCCACCCCCTTGCTTTGTGCCCATTGCAACAGACAATATCTATGAGGAATTTAAGTTATTTTCACCCCGGAACTGGAGTTAGCTTATTCTTATCCACTTGAAGGAGCAGTCCTGTGAATTAAGAAGAGGTGCTCATTATACTACCGCTGCTAAGACCTGCAGCCCTCATCACAATGCCAGTCATTGGGAATAGCACTGGAGTATTAACAAACATACGCTCGCCATAGAGGGAAAGCATTGCCTTCTGATCCGCTCTTACTTAAGGATACTGCATCCCTGTTTCCTCTTTTCCCCAGACCTTAGCCCTGGCAGAGGAGGGTTCAGGTCACATGAGGTATTTAAAAATGGAAGAAACAAAGGCTCTATTTTTCTTATTTTGACTGATACAAGGTTTCACAATAGTGTAGCCGATCCATTGTATTGAAAATGACCGCCCGCCACTCTGTATGGTTAAGCCTAGGCTGATTTCAGTAAGCAATCTACTGTCATCATCTTCATTACAAGAGTCCACCTCCAGAGAAGAAACACATCCTAAGAGCAGAAATCCCACTGTGATAGCAGCGCATTATAATGCTACTTGCTAACTTGTTTAAAATAATGAAGTTGCATCATCCACTGTGTTATGATAAAAGATGTGAGGCACTGCTGTGAAAAGGGATTTGATGTAAAGTACACTCAGAGCACATACCCCATTAAAATGCTGTATTCATCGGCCCTGTGAATTCCAGATCAGATTTGCTCATTAACTGGCAAAAAGGTAGATTTTTATAACCTTCAGCACTGCAGGCATACTGAAGAGCTGTGTTCTTCCTCCTTTTTATCCCATCTGAAGTAAATGGAAGGAGGGGATCAGGCTAAAACACAAAGGGTAAAATCTGAGTTTCATTTCTGTTAATGGAAATTTTGCCATTGACTTTAATGTAGGTAGGATTTCACCCAAGTTTTCAAGAGTCTCAGTTAAAACACTTTATACCCAGCCCGCACCCTTCTTTTCTCTGCACTAAGGAGCTGAAATAACCCCTCCCTCTTCCTGGTTGCATGGAGTCGGTGGGAAGATACTACTCTCTTTCACTTTAGCTCAGAGGGGGACAAAATGTGGCCCACAGGCAGCGTCCAGCCTCTTAGTCATTTTAATCTAGCCCTCAAGCTGCTGCTGGGGAGTGGGGTCTGGGACTTGCCCTGCTCTGTGCATGCCATAGCTCTGTGCAGCTCCTGGAAGCAGTGGCATATCCCCGCTCTGGTTCCTATGTGTAGGGGCAGCCAGAGGGCTCCTGTGAGTTGCCCCCACCCCAAGCATCGTTCCCACGGTTTCCTCTGGTGGGTCCTGAAAACAGGGGCCTCTGCGTAGGAGCCAGAGGGAGGATATGCTATTCCTTCTGGGAGATGCTTGAGGAAGTAAATGTGGCACAGAACCTATACCCGAGCTACCCTGCTCCGCATCCAACTTCCGGCCCCAACCTTGATCCCCCTCCCTTCCACCAAACCCCTGTGTCTCAACCCAGAGCCCCCTCCTGCACCTAAATCCCTCTTCCCCAGCCCCACCTCAGAGCCTGTGTCCCCAGCCAGAGTCTTCACTCT